TCCACCCCTCTTAAAGTTGCCAAGGTTGAGAAACACAGGACTAGAGACTCTATTCTGGCTTCTCAGATTTCAGCTGGCATTGTCCACACATTAACAAGCACACATTTATACAACAACTATTGTTGCAGCGTCAGAGATGGCAGCACCTAGTTGATGGTGACTGATTTTGGAAGAGAAATAGGTACTTCTGCAGGAGCACAGCAGAAGCATAGATCCCACTGACATATGTGGTTTACTCCACCAGTGCAGTGTGATCCTTTTCCCATGAAGCAAAGATCTTGGTAAGAGGTAGAAAAACACCTCTTCTTTGTTCATCTGCCACCGGAGAGAGCAAAACAGTCAGAAGATATTTGGCCTTTTATCAAAGGGACGTCATTGTACTTTTCCTTTGAGTCTTTCAAGTCTTTCAAGTAACCACAACTTCAAGGAAATTACCATAAATTCAGATCCCTGGTAAGGAAGGGATAAAAGGAAGATTCTGTGTCTCAGCATTAGGGTAAAACATTTCCAAACGGAAACATTCCAATTACTTTCCAATTCCACCTCCACATTTTCCCGACCCCCAGATCTTTGATTATACTAAAATATAGTAGAAAAGTGATGGCACCTGGCCCTTCACACCCTCATTTCAGTACCTTGGATTAACTGGGATAAAGAGTGATCTGGCATGCAAGAATAAAAAATCTCTTCTTGCTAGGATTGTATGGCAAATCGTAATTCCAGAACCAACCTCCCATATCACTCAAAGAGCAACAGCTCTCATGGGCTAGGAGAAGATATACAGGCAGGAAGGTGGCACCAAGGAAGGCACATGTCATCACCAAGGAAATAATCTTTGCCTTCCACACTACTGGGTACCAAAAGAGGCATTTGTGAGCCATTCAAGGGAATTTTTTAAAAATGTCCTCTAACTGCATTACTCTCCAAGAACTTCTGATGGGAATGAATGTGTCACCAGGATTAACCCTTTTGTAAGGACAGGAGAAAGATCACCATCTATTCCAGCTGATAGATTTGGACCTGGCATTCCTCTGGAGCTGCAGTTTGGAAATGGTTCTCCTCTTGGAGAATCTTTTCCATGTATCTTACTTGTTGATAAAATCCTTGAAACCCTGCAAGACCCATTTTTATTTCTGGATGGATGTTAAGTTCACATGAAGCACATGCTTGAGCTTCTGGAGCCTCATGGATGCCCTCTATGGGTAAGGCCATGCTGTCTGGGGGTGACAGGAGCTCTGACACATTTGCACCTAGGAAGGTTCTACAGCTTGCTCAGCTCTACTACTTGCTGAATGTTGCAGGAAGAGTTTGGAAGAGGATGGACAACAGGTCTTCGAGGAAGCTCATTGACAATTTAAAGCATGAAGTAAAGCAGCTTTTAATGGGTTACTTGGGGAATGCCCATATGCATATATGCACAAGCCTTTACTTGTGCCCAGGAAAGCTTGGGGAAGATTCTGTTCTGAGCCCCAAGTACAGTGTTCCTCAACCTTGACAACCTTGAGATACGTGGACTTCAATTGCCAGAATTCTGGGAGTTGAAGTCTACACATCTTAAAGTTGCTAAGTTGAGAAACACTGCCCAAGAACATCAGGCTGGGAACCTTTTCAAGCCAGTGGGCACAGCTGGTAGGTTGATCATATATTGTGAGCAGTCTCACAAAATGCTCCCCACTATGTTCTGTGCTCACAGTCACCCTGTGTGTGTGTGTAAACAGGTGGATACACTTCTAAACAAAACCTGGGCTGCACCCCTCTTTGATTTTCTCAGAATTCCTTTTGGGCCTATGTTTAATTAGAAGACTTAGAAACAACAACAGCAACACAGAGGGAACTGTTGCAATATGTTTTTGTCAAAAAAAAAAAAAAATGAAACATGGGGGCTTTGGAAGGCCCCTCCAGAGCAGGGAACAGCAAAGCAGGCCAAATCAAAAAGCTGCCGAGGCAGTTGGGTCTACTAGGGAACGTTGGCTGTCTGAACAGCTAAAAAGCTCCTCTTCCTCCTCCTCCCAACAGAGCTAAGTGGCATGAGGCTCATTTTCAGCATGCTTTGCAATCAAAGTTGCTATTCCCAAAGGACGCCGAGATACCGAGAATGATTTTCATTCTTCCTGTAGGTGCTCATTTGAACTGGCTTGCCTTGAACGGTTAGAAATTCAGTAATTGAAAATCCACAGAAACACGCACCCCTAGCGTGCGCTTCATTAGACAGCCGCAATTGCTTTTCACAGGATGACTTCACGATGGGTAGGCAGTGAGCTGCGCTGTTGCAGCCTTCCCCAGTCTGGTGCAGGGTGGAAAACAGGCCTCCAAGAAATGCCTGCCAGCGTGACTAAAGGCCCGCTGGAGTGGGAGGCAGGCAATGGAAGATGGGGGCATTGATGCCTTCCCGCTTCTTGCTCATGATGGAATTCAGGCAATACCTCTCTCTTGCTGATTTGCAGGACCCGGGGCTCTTCAGGCTGGGTGAAGGGGCAGCTGGCCTGTCTTTATTTTTATTCTGAAAGGGTTGTAAATAAGAAGTACGCTGTTTCTTTTCAACTTGGGAGAGTTAGTTCAATCCAGCCAGAGGAAAACCTGATATCAGATCTGTCTGTTACCAAAACAACCTATGCTTAATAGCTTGGGTAGGAGAAAGAATTTGATTTTTAATTTCACACTTCATACACAGCAATCACTGATATACTTTCATAACATCTCCTTAGCTTTTCGGTAAAAAAAACCCCTGTAATATCAGAAATTTCTAGGTTCTGTTTTGCCTACTTCACTGAGTCCTGTTTAGCCTCCCAGGAAAAGCCTGACTCTGTTCACCCCACTGCTTCTCAAAACAAGCCTAATCAACACATTGCTGCGTGTGGTTTTCCCTGGCGCCCAAAGAATGGAATCCACTGCAAAATTGGTGGAAGTTTTCAGCCTAGAAGACAAAAGATGTTCCAGTCCAGGAGGCACAGAGCTAACTTCGTTTGCTTAAGAATCAGGGCTTGAGGGCATTTCCCCACCCTCGCTCAGAGTGAGTTGACAGGCTGATAAAGATTTGGCTTGGTAAACAGCTTGGAAGGCTGTCCATTATCAGCAAAGCGGTCTGCCTCCTCACCACTTCATAAGCAAGTCATTAAGAAGAAAGGGAGTAAACCTCTCGCTTTGTAGGAGTAATAATTCAGTTGCGGATGTTTCTATAACCCTATCCTCAGCTCCATAAATCTTGTTAATGAAGGCTCTGTGAGAATCTTGCTTGGAATTGCTTTTGGTCTGAGGGTTGAGAGCAGCATTAAAAAGTCCCTGTGAGGATGCAGCCACCTCCTGTCAGCCTTGCGAGATAGTCCAGGCAGGAAGCACGCCCAGATGAACGAATTCTACTTTATTGTAAGGTTACATTAACAGAATCTTGCAAGTCTGAAAGTACCTTTCTCCCATTACCTTTACAGCCCAAGAAACTAGGGAGGGTCCCTTCAGAGATGTTTGCCACCCCCATTCCTTCTGTGGGCTAAGCTGCCTCTTATCGGACCGTTCCCCTGGCTGCGGCTCTTTCCCCTGTTTTTCAGAATCATTCCCACAGACCATTACACCTCCCCACAGCCAAATTTTTCAGTTCCCCACTGTGCCTAATCCCATGGATTTCGCTCACCTTCCGTTCAACTGTTCGGGTTCAAGAGAAAAACAATTAGTTCCCCCACGTGACAGCTGAAGCTGGAAAGGCGGAAAAGCAAAAAGGGTGAGCTCTGAGAGAGCCATTATCCAAACAAAATGCAGGTGCTTCCTGTGCTTAAGGCTGAAAAACAAGCATCCCAAAGTCTGTTGCCACAGAAAAGCAGGAGAAAGAGACACAAGATTTAAACCCTGGGGCTGCTGTAAGCAGAAGGTGTGACTGCTTGAGTCTGCATCAGCTGATCTTTGTGGTTATTCGAGCTTCTTGAATCTGTGATAAAAGCAGCCTCTCTAGCCAAGCCCATCCTTGATTCTTCCACTGTCAGCTACCAAAGGCTGGTTGAGTTTATCGAGATTTCCTGCCATGTGCTGGATGAAGCACTGAGACTTTATCAGGTTCCAGAGCTGTGTCAAATTCATAGCCTCTCACTGTCTCTCTTTAGAACAAAGTCAAAAGGAAAATGGAAAAGTACTAGGGCAAAGGTGGGGAGTGGGAAACAAGGAACTAGACCTGGGGTACTTCTATGTTTAAGCGAAATCAGCAGAGTCCCATTGCAGGTGATTTCTAGCAAGTAAGATACGTGTCCTTTCCCCGCTCAACTGGGCCTGATGCGCCAATCTCCAAGTTCAGTCTTTTTCTATTTGCTTCTAGTAGCTATGTTGCCGAAGATGACCCAACCCATTTTGTTGGGGGGTGGCGGGAGGGGGATGATCAATAGAAGATGCAAGGTAGGGGAAGCCAGTAAAACTGGCCTTGAGGAAGTGCCTGAAGGCAGCATGTTGGGGTTTGTAGGATCCAAGCAAGTCATGCTTAAACTACCCAGCTGACTGTAGAGAAGCACACAGATAACCTGGCAGAAGGAATAGGACAGCAGTTAGCAAAAGATGACTTAAGCCCAGGAAAGGAAGAAGAAAGAAACCCAAAGTCTTGACTTGCTTTGGTCTAAGATGGAGGGGAGGGAAAACTCTACAAGGCTTTCAAGATTCTGTTACTACATCCTAGATTAATAAAGCAGAGTTCCAATATTTCTTCTGGAGCCTGTTTCCTGACCTGGCTCACCTTGAAGGGATGACATCAATCCACTGACCCACCAAGGGAGGGTGGCACCACCTTCTTGGAACCAGGGTTATGGAATGTTGTAACTGTGGGCTCCAGTATGCCCATTCTGGTTGATCTCAGGAACTAGGCAAGATTGGGTACTTGGAGCAGAGAGTAGCAGGAAACCCCAGGACACTGGGAATTCAGAAAAGCCATGCCAAAGAACTTGATTTTGTTGCCAAGAAAATGGCAGGGATGCAATCACCAGACCTAGACAGTTCCTTTTTGGCTCCTTGTCTGGAAGGCAACTTCACCCCCACTACTCTTCTTATCCCACTCACTGCTTACCATGACTATTGTTTTTAACGAGAGGAGAACAAATAGCAAGGGAGCTTGCTGCAAAAGCACTAGATGTTTGCATTATTTTCATTTTGAAGAACGCTTCTGCACCCTCCTCCTTGGACCCCTGGTATTTAAGAACATCAAAACGGTGGGTAGGTGCCAGCCCGGGCTTTGCTTGAAAGTGTGCCAACTTGTCCATCAAAATGAGCAAAGTGAAGCTAGAGTGGTGGGGAGCATCTTGGGGACTAGAGGCTGGTGGAAAGACCCTTTCTTGTGAAACAGTGTTTTGTGAATGATCAGGCCACCAACGTTGCCTCTAGTGTGAAAGCCTTCCAAATGGGTCCACTGGCTGAAAAAATTTTGCCTGTTCAAGCAGCAGAGCATTTTGTACAGCAGCTAATGTTGAAAGCTGAAAACAGAAGCTGGGGATGTCCAAAAGCTTCATTTCCTTCCTGCTCACTCCATTTTTTTCCTACCTTCTGCCTTTAGGGAGACAACTGCTTTGGACCATGATGAAACAACAGCATAAGAAACCTGGGTAGTTATCTGCTAAAGGCACAGTAAAAAAAGTGAGCAAAAGAAAGTGATTGGTAAGTGGATGATTCAAGATCCTGAGTCTCTTCCTCCCCCTCCCCCTCCTTCTTTTTCAAAAAAGAACATTTCTAGTTCTTATGGCTGCGAAAATGAGCTCTGCAAATGAGCTATTGAGACCTAAATTCAGAAAGACAAAGCTCATCTTTCTCCAATTTGGACACCCTCCATATATCTTGGGACTGCAAGGGCAGCAGCTGAGAATACTGGGAATTGGACTTCCAAAACATCTGGAGAAAGCTGAACCAGTATACATGAACTACTGAATATGGAAATGTATTATTAACTTTTTGCAACCTGCTTTTGTTTTTCACTTTGTTAGTCATCTTGAGGACACCTCAAATTACAAGAGCTGGGTATAAAAGAAATAACTGTAAATATTGTAAATGTTATTAATTCCCTTGAGTACTTGCTAGCATGAAATGGTGGGGCAAGAAAGAAAGAAACAAATCATAAATTAGATCCCTGGTTTGATCCCAAAGCTAATGTTGAAAGATAAGCTAAACAGATCCTCCTCCAAAGATCTTCACAGAGAAACCATGAAAATGGAGTGTTCTTTTTTAATTGCAATAATGTTTTTTTCCCCTTCTTTTTTAATTGTTTAGTACTATGTACCTGACCGAAAGTTGCTTCAGTGATTGAGGTGGCTAACGAATTGAATAAGTACATTTTTCAACTTAACACAAATGTAAACTGGGGTGTGCAATCCATAACCTTAGGACTGCTGTGAGCCACAAAGCTTCCCCATCCTAGGCAAAACCCAACATTTCAGACCTTTCCCTGTTGGGGAGGGGAATGGTTGAAAAAACAAAATAGGAGACTTAAACTTTGCAGAGACCTGAGTATCCACTGCATTCCATTAACAGGCTTTTTTGTGGGGAAGGGGGCAAATGAGGACCAAAATGGTCCCCATATCCTGCAGCCTCCAGATAGGGCAACAAGGGAATAAGCACATACATACACACACCAGCTGGCTGAAATAGGTTGCCCCCCTTGATGCACACAGATACAGAACATCTCAGAATAAATAAGGGATTACCATGTTGGTGCAACCAGCAAAACAGGCAGATAAGTATGTGATCCCATCTGCCCCACAGACTGGAGTGAAGGAATCCATTTGACATTTACAGTTGCTATTGCAGGCAGAATAGGGGGCCAAGCTGGAGATGGTTGACCTGAGAAACAAGGAAGGATGGGTGGGGTGAGTCAATCAGCAGGCAGGAAAACCTTTTTAGTTGTAAGGTGCCCAGAGTTGTTTAGGAATAAAGAGGAGAAAGAAAGAAGGAAGAAGGAAGAAGGAAGAAGGAAGAAGGAAGAAGGAAGAAGGAAGAAGGA